CAAAGCATGTGTGTGCTGGGTGAGTGGGGTCCTTCATGATGCAGGTGGACCTCTTCCTGCATCTGGAGGTGTAAATATAGGGGGAGCGGTGGCGCAGAGGTTAGAGAGGTGGGCCTGCGATCGGAAGATCACCAGTTCACGCCCCGGTACCGACAACATCAAAAATGTGGGTGGGGTAGGTGAAGCACCCACAATTGCCCCTACCCTCATTCGCCCCACTCTGGGCCCTTGAGCAAGGCCCTTAACCCCCATCTGCTCCCTAAACAGGTCTCTCTTGAAAATGAGTTCTCATGGCTCAATGAGACTACCTGTATAAGAAAAGGGTAAATGAAAAAAACAAACAAAAATGTCTGTGATGGTGGGGAGACTGACTCCAACATCTTCTGTGCAGCCTTCACCACTCTCTGCAAAGCTTTTCTTTCTGCAGCTGTGCAGCCTCCATGCCACACGTTGATGCTGGAGCACAGGATGCTCTCCATTGCACACCTGTAGAAGGAGGTGAGGACTGAGCTTCCCAGTCCAGCTCATCTCAGCCGCCTGAGGAAGTAGAGTCTCTGATAAGCTTTCTTGATCAGGCTGGTGGTGTTGTTGCTCCAGCTGAGGTGTGTTTGTTCCTTCTGAAGTTCACGACCATCTCCTTCATCTTCTTCACATTGATGTGAAGATTGTTCTTCCTGCACCAGTTCTCCAAGTGTTCCACCTCTTGCCTGTAACTGGACTCATCATTGTTTGTGATGCATCCCACCACCGCTGTATCATCTGCAAACTTTATAATATAACAGCCTGGATGGGTTGATGCACAGTCATATGTGAGCAGAGTGAAAAGGAGAGGGCTCAGCACACAGCCCTGAGGGGAGCCAGTGCTGAGGGTTATGATGGAGGAGGAGAAGTTGTGGATCTTCACAGACTGTGGTCTGTTTAACTTAAGGTGAATTTATCTATATTTCCTGTAAATAGATTGGTTTGTATCTTTAGACTTTTTTTTACCCTTTATACCACTGTATAATTATATTGTTCTTTTCTATACTTGTATACTATTACTTTTGTACCTGCTAATATACCCCTGGCAGACACTTGTTTGTAAAGTGGATAAAGTTTTGTAAAAAAAAAAAAAAAGACTGTGGTCTGTTTGTTAAGAAGTTTAGGACCCAGTTGCAAATGGAGGGACTTAGTCCTAGTGTGAGTAGTTTGTCCATCAGGGTTTGGGGGATCATGGTGTTGAAGGCAGACGTGAAGTCCACAAAGAGCAGATAGATGTAGGAGTCCTTCTGTGGGTGAGAGCAGTGTGGACCACAGAGGAGATGATGTCTTCTGTTGATCGGTTCTCGCGGTATGCATACTGATGAGAATCTTCATTGATGTTGATGACACCCTGGACATGTCTCCAGTCCATCACAGGGACACATAGAGACAAACGAGACAAACAACTCTCACTCACCGAGGGACAATTGACAGCTACCAATGAACCTAACATGGCTGTTTTTGGTCTGTGGGAGGAAACTTGAATACCCGGAGAAAACCCACACATGCACAGAGAGAACATGCAAACTCCACTTAGTAAGGCCCCTGCCAGGATTTAATCCTGCAACCTTCTCACTGAGATGCAACAGCTCTACCAACTGAGCCACCATGCTGCCATGATCTCAGGATGAAATATCATTTTTTATTATAATAGTGTTGAGGCTGAGGTTGTGAGTTTGAGCCCAGGTTGTGTCAGGAAGGGTGTAACCGGGTTGTATTTGTATTTTGTTATAATTACACAAACCGTCTTTTTTTACATGGATTGTTCTTATAGCTGACTGTAAACACTTTTTAGAAACCGCTGTGGTCGATATAAACGTGACTTTAAGCTCGGGAGCCCCTCCTTTATATTTCTTCTTCTGCGTTTTTGTTAAAATAATTTGCTGCTCTTTCACCCTTCACTTTTGTAATGTGTCCTGTGGGAGAGCTGGGAGTTGGTTATTTTTCATCTAAATACATCCTGTTTATTTATTGATTTATTAAGTGCATTTTTACTATCATCACCACTGTAATATATAAATCCATCATATAACGTAAATATTTAAGTGAACTCATGATTGTAAAGTAACAGGAATTGATTTTAGTATTATTATATACCTTCCTTTTGTGTAGGACTTGGAGCAGGCAGCCGATAACGTGGTGGTTTTGTGTTTGTTATTCTTGTCAGTCTTGTCAGAATAAATGGAGGAACCAATCATGCCCAAGAGAAACCGTGTCACAGTCTAATCCTTCATTAATAACCAGCACAATGCAGAACGGAACCGGTTACAAGGGCATTCGGAGTCAAATAATCAAATCTGTGGCGACCCCTGAAGAAGAGAGCAGCAGAAAGAAAAACAGCACACTGTTGGTTTAGCTTTAGCATTTAAAAAAATAACAGATGGATGTTGCCAACTGTATCTACGGAGACCCAGAGGGGACATGGGGGATTTTTTTTTTTTTCCTTTTGCGTTCCATCGCAATACTGCACTATATGTAGTGTTATCTCACAGACAACAGCAACAATGAAACAGACACCGTCAGTGGTTAATCTGAGCCGGATCCTGCCGGAATAAGGTCCGGGAACTCTCTCAGTTTGACCCGTTCTGTTCTGGCAACTCTTTGTTCGGATCCGGCAGCTCCGCCCCTAAAAGTCCAAAGTCATTGCGCATTTTTATTTTGATTATTTATTAAAAATACAACGAGAGGAGACTGAAATCAGACTGCCTGCGTCGACTCGAACGAGGAAGCCATCGCTGAATCCACGGAGCACGAACATGAAACATCCAATGTAAAACTAATTTTACCACTGCAGCTCACACTGGATATCCTTATATTTAAAACTGATTTCAAAACAAAACTCCATGAACCTCAGATACGGGTGTCTGTCCAATTGTTGCTGTTGTCAATGTGACTTAACACTACATACAGTACAGTACTGCGAGGGAACGCAAAAAATGTTTGCAAGGGAACGCAAAAGGAAAAGAAAAAAAATCCCCCATGTCCCCTCCGGGCCTCCGTAATGAATAACTTTGATACGTTGGATTCATTATTACTTATGGGCACTAGTGACCCAAAATGGAAGAAGCGGGTAAAGATGATGATGGATTAACTTAACAGTCCTGGTGTCATGCTATTTACATACAACACACCTTCAAACGTTAACACTTTTTATAAAGCTGTTTTATAAAATACTGAATATGATTGGTGGGCAGCACGGTGGCGCAACTGGTAGAGCTGCTGCCTCTCAACAAGAAGGTCCCTGGTTCAAACCCCGGTCCAGGGGCCTTTCTGGGTGGAGTTTGCACCGTGCATGCGTGGGTTTTCTCCGGGTGCTCCGGTTTCCTCCCACAGACCAAAAACATGCATGTTAGGCTGATTGGTAACTCTAAATTGTCCCTAGGTGTGAGTGAGAGAGTGAATGGTTGTTTGTCTCGTTTGTCTCTATGTGGCCCTGTGATGGACTTGCGACCCGTCCAGGGTGTACCCCGCCCCTCGCACAGTGATTGCTGGACATGGGCACCAGCGACCCCCGTGACCCAAAATGGAATAAACGGGTAAAGATAATGGATGGATGGATGGATGAATATGATTGTCCTGACGCATGATTAATAATCTAGGTAGAAAAATCTAACTAGATTACAAGAACAATATTGAGAGGGAATGCAAAAGTAAAAAAAAGTCCCCCATGTCCCCTCGAGGGCATCGTAGTATCCTTCTGCAGAAAAACTTTCATATAAAATAGTAAACCAGTACAAATATTGTCTTGTTCACTGAACACTGGCACTGCAAAACGTGAATGCATCTGGTTGATCTAAGCTTATGTCACTCACTTTCACAAGATAGAGAACCTCAACGAGTTTTGAGTAAGCCCACAACTCGGGACTGAATGCCAAACCTCTTATCTGTACAAGAAGTAATGAGAGGAAAAACAGTATTATTGGTGGTCATGTGATTCACACATTAAAGTTTGTTTAGTGCTCATAAAGGTGGCACGAAGTTGTCTATATGACTTTCCCAGAGAGAACGGTCCATGGTTCAAATTTCAGCAGGATGCCTTTCATAAACTTTCAACAAAGAGTCTGTGCAGGACCGGACTTAACCTTGTTAGACTTTTCTACCTGGATTACTGCGCACCATCAGGACGTTCAAATATTCTCTATAAACCTGTTGTTATATTTTCATACATATGCCCAAAACGTAGTTTTTATTTGAACAAACTGAATGAAAATCTCTGAATAATTTCTAATAAATTGAATGAATTTGATTGAGCTCTTTAATCACAAGTTCTGAAAAAATAAAATATATATCACAAGTTCTGCAGGTAACTTTTCTTAGTGTGCACATTAAAGCTCACATTAACAAAGTATGTTATATGTTGTATAATGGCAGTTTTCTGTGATGACTGAAAAGTTCTTAAGTGTTAGGAAGATAAATAAATCCAGCAGATTGTTAACACTGAACATCATATTAGTGTATTTGGTGTGTGTGTAATGCTGGTTGTGCACTGGACATAAATGAAAATGTATAACTTTAGACAAATCATACTTTACAGTACTGTACTGTATACAGTGCTGCCTATGAACACATTTTATAAGGCTCTGCTTTGACTGTTGTGGCCTGTTTACAGTGAAGGAAGTGAAAAATGCTGAGTAAAGCGTGCATAAATCAAACTCTTTTCATTACTTGTAAAATAGTTAATAGCTAATATTGTATGAAATATGTGAAAAACACAAAATTAACTTAATTATTTCACTTCATTACAATGAATCTCATATTGTGTTTCCTGTTTAAAGGTGCTGAACCCACAGGCTCTCCGAGGACGTTCTCATCAGATAGCTCCCCTTCTCCTTTACTGTTTTCCTCTGGGATGTGGACAGCGATAAGGATGAACATAAAAAGCTTCAGACAGACAGTGTACCGTCCTCCACACCATCTCCAAAAGACAAATCTGTCCAACAGCTGGGGAGTCGTCATAATTTCAAAGGGTCCTCGAAAAAGCAGCCTTCGTCTTCCTCGTCCTCCTTCGAAGAGGGTAAGACAAGCCTGGCACCTCCTTTTCTAAAAGACACGCACTTTATTTGTTCATTCAGTGGACCTGGACACGTTTCAGTTTTGTTTAACGAGATGTTTGATGCGGGACTTTTAGAGAACCCACAGTGAATGCAAGGATGCATATCGTGTTTCAGACATGACTCAAAAGAACGCACACAAAAGAAACGATGAACAAAGCTAAACTGCCTCTTTGTTTTTCATTTGCTCTATAAATTCTGAATCGCATATCAAAACTTTTCAAGTTTCTATGTGTTTTAGCAAGAAACAGGAAGACAGTGACCACAGTTCTTGGTTATAAGATTTTATGCTGACATAAAAAAAAGACAACATAGAACTTTATTGATCCCGCAGGAAACTGTTCCTCTGGTGAGGATTTTCAAACACTGTATGCTTGTGACAAAGTAACAATGTTTATTATGTTCTTTGTAAAAATAATTATTTTTACTATTATAGACACTGACAAGTTTGTATATGGCAGTAATTATTTTGAAGTGTTTAATGTGTTGCCCTGCAGGGATCAAAATTATATTTTGACCTTTGAACTCGTCCTTATTCTCTGGATAGCAAAAGCTTTTAAAGTTGAATAAAAAAAGTGCTTTTTTCATTTTGAGAGAAAATAATCTGTTACGTCATTGTGTTAGACATTTTAAATCTATTATAAAACTTTAGATGTCTATCAGAGTTGGGATCCAATATCAAGCTATTGTAAGGATGAACCAGCTGAGCAGCGGATGGAAACAGTTTTTCAGGATCTCTGTGAATCTCTGTCATGGAATCACTGGACTTTGGCTTTCCAGTTCTTCTGACAGTGGCAATTTTAGCCTCTTTTTCGGGGTGCTCAAGCACTCCTTAATTTCGTCTTAGCTAACGCGTCAGTATTGTGAGCCTCAATACAGTTGATGGCAGTTGTCGACTGTTAGGATGCATGTGACCTATTGTGCCCTATTCACACAAGGAGAGCTGTTGGTCAGGCTACTTCTTGTTGTGCCATTGCCTCTAAAATAGTTATTGAATCAAGTGTTTAATTATGTAGGTAAAACTAGATGTTAAACTACCCATGAAAACACACTAGAATGCAGGAAATCACATCTACTTTATTCAAATTTTTCTGGGGGAGGACCCCCAGAACCCCAATGTGTCCCCCACCCACATTACAAATGCTTCTGATGCAAATGGCCACCATGTTGTTCAAGCCAAGAGCCATTGTTAGCAACGGGGGCTAAAGGCGCCCTGTAGGGCAGATTCTAGAATTGTCCCTGACTTCTGACATAGCCTACTTTGGATCAAAAACAAGGATTATTCACAAGTTTGGAGCCAAAAACTTTTAATACTGAGTAGGGCGTCATTGTTGTCATTTTCATAATTAATTTAATAACTAGATTACTGTTAATTAAAAAGTAAACTTTTTTTATATAATTGGACAGTTAATATCATGTTAAGTTCAAGTTCAAGTAGGTTTTATTATCATTCGCATCACATGTGGTACATGAGGTGGAACGAAATTGTGCACACAGGGTCCCAGTTACATCCAACAATAGCAAAAATTGTTAAAGGAATCAGTAATAAGGATGTAAGATATAAACTAAGAAATATGCTAAACACTAATGTCAAACCATGCGTTGCCTTTAACTCTATATTGATCAGTTTATCATTCAGTGTTTCACTATGAGCCAGTAGATTAAAGTTTGAAGGACAGAATGTTCTACGTAGTCTGAAATTTATGTTTCTTTCTATCATTTTGAACAGCTAAAACTTCAATAAAACAAAAAAGACATAAATAAAAACATAAATATTTCCACCAAAATATTCTGTAAACAAAACAAAAATGCTTGGAAGGGGAGCAGGAAGAAGCAAAGGCTTGTCTGTCCTGTCCTTAAGTTTACGTACAAATTCTGAATCAAACTAGTGATTCAATGGGGTGGCTGTGGCTGAGTGGTTAGAGAAGATGTCCTCCAATGAAAGAGTTGGGGGTTTGATTCCAACAGCAGTCACATGCTGAAGTGTCCCTGGGCAAGACACTGAACTCCTCTTTGCCTCCTATGTGTGTCCCATCGGTGTATGAATGTGATAAAGCTCTGATTATTCTTTGTACAGATATAATAGAGTGCTGTATGAATGGGTAAATGAGGGCACAGGTTGTAAAGAGCTTTGAGTGTCTTGATCAGATAGAAAGGCGTTACATAAGTACAGTACATTTATCATAAATACATAAATACCCCTACATGCATATACGTATAACTGTATACACAGACATGCATGCATAGCTACATATACCTACACATACATCAATATACCTTCAGATACAGATTTACTGTACTCTATATCACCTACAGACCATAGCTTAATGTTTTAATCTAAGCCATTCCACAAAATTACTCCACAAATAGATGTGCACATGCTTTGAAGAGTGCTGTGAACACAGGGTTGCTTTAAGTTACATTTTCTGCTCAGTTTGTATCTTCCCTCTCTTTTCTTAAACAAGTTTTGAATATTCTTTGGAGGCATATTGTTACTAGCTATGAACATCACCTGTGCAGTTTTGAATTGTACCAAATACATAATACACACTCCTCAAGGATGTGTGTTGAGCCCTCTCCTGTTCACTCTGCTCACGTATGATTGTGCAGCTACCCATCCAGGCTGTCACATTGTAAAGTTTGCAGATGATACAGATGTGGTGGGATGCATCACAAACAATGATGAGTCCAGCTACAGGCAGGAGGTGGAACACCTGGAGAGCTGGTGCAAAGAGAATAACCTTCACATCAATGTAAAGAAAACAAAGGAGATGATTGTGGACTTCAGAAGGAACAAAAACATCTACACTCCCTGACCATAAGAAGATCTGCGGTGGAAGTGGTCTCCAGCTACAAGTACTTGGGTGTACACATGAATGACAACCTCAGCTGGAGCAACAACACCACCAGCCTGATCAAGAAAGCTCATCAGAGACTCTACTTCCTCAGACGGCCGAAGCGAGCTGGTCTGGGAAGCTCAGTCCTCACCTCCTTCTACAGGTGTGCAGTGGAGAGCATCCTGTGCTCCAGCATCAACGTGTGGCATGGAGGCTGCACAGCTGCAGAAAGAAAAGCTTTGCAGAGAGTGGTGAAGGCTGCACAGAAATCTGTTGGAATCAGTCTCCCCACCATCACAGACATCTACACCTCCAGATGCAGGAAGAGGGCCACCTGCATCATGAAGGACCCCACTCACCCAGCACACACACTTTTTGCCCCACTCCCCTCAGGAAGGAGGTTGAGGAGCATTAAGTGTAGAACCACTAGACTGAGGAACAGCTTCTACCCTGAGGCTGTTAGACTCATGAATCTCTAACCAGAATAATCACTGTGAAAAACCATATCATGTTGC